AATCCGGCGAGGCAATTCGCATCCCTTTCTTAGCCCACTCGCATCTCCTTTTTTCAACCGCAGAAAAAACGAGATTGCTGCAATTATGAAAAACAGCTTCCGATGGTCATTAAATAATAATATCTCTTTCTGGGATATTGTTGCACTTTGATTTTTAAGAACACAGTTTTTCAGTTTTTTCTTTTTGGCAAAGATACGTAATATGAAAGTGCTGCAAACTGATTGCTGACTACGGTGACATAAAACACAAATCACATTGTATGGAGGGCCTGACGTTTTGATCCTAGCAGAAATTTGAATTGAATTTGAATCCTTCTCAAAGGCAATTTTATGACAAATAGACAGGACAAACAAGCAAACCGTGTATCAACCAAGCATGTGACTTTTCTTTTTTTTAATGAATTATCATCCCAAAGAGCGATCGTTCCAGAGACGGACTTGCCTTAAATGCTATATCTGATATCGGGCTTGTCGCCACATTTATCGCCTGGTTGGAATTCGTTGTTTTTCCAGCACAGGACCAGTCTGTGGTCTAAGTACTGAGTATGTGCAGGCTTCACCGATGATTGAACTCGCATTGACTGTTGAAAACAAATATGCACCGTCTTTTCTTTCTGTTTTCCACGTAGCAAGGAACACTAAACACAAGCCATGCATGCCAGCGGAATGGTGGTCAGATCAGCCACTATAAACCACACCCCAAAACTTAAAATTCACCCCAAAGAAAATGATGGAGCGTTTACTGTCAAAGTTGTAAGTAACAGTTTTTATTGTTGCCGTGAGTGGAGAACACACCGTGCCGAGCGAGATCTTCCAAGAATGTATGCAGTTCAACATCTACTCTCATTTGGGGGCAATTTTTTGGAAATTAGATCTTCAGAAACTTTTTATAGCTCCACTTTTAATTGTTTGTTTGGAACCAAACAAAGTGGTGCAATCAATCAAAATACTGGCAGCTCCTTTAACTGTGCACCAACAGAGTGGTATTGACGTTAACGACCCGAGGCGGTGATTACAAGAATCGATTTTTGCTTTGACTTCACTCTGTGTTCCATACCAGCTGTACAGGTATTACAATAGCAGATTATGGGGAACGTTTGACCCCGATACCCTAACGATATACCTTTGCCTTTTCGATATTCGGATTTTACCTGGAGGCACGCGGTCTCGACAACAATACCATTCTTCGTTTGGAATTTCGCCAAAGGATATGCAGGCTTGACACATAATGCTGAAAATATGCCGCCTTAAGACATTCGCGAGGTTGCTCTTTGTCTTTGATTCATGCACCGGCACAGAAACACTCTTGATGCATCCTCACAACCAAATAATGTAGAATTGCTCCATCATTTAAGTCACTACAATGACCCCCTCGTGTTTGGAGGGTAGCTACAGTGGAATTTCTTTGCATATATACCTCCAAATATACCTTATATATACCTCATATATACCTTCAAATTTTCATTTGAAATTTGGTTTCATTATTTCAAAGGGTATTTTACTAGATTTTGGCTATTTATGCTAATGAGATTTCCATATTTGTGAGCAAAAATGTGATGTCATCCCAGGAGGAAAGCCTTAATATTAGGCTAACGCTGGTTTGAACGCAAAAAATTCCTGCCTTTTACAAGACTTTTCTGGACTAAATTTTCTCCCCTTTGATTAATTATGGTTTATGTACATAGGAGTAAGCAAACAATCAACCCTTTCTCAGATTTTTAAGTGAATAAATTCTGGGTTCACAATTTGAACAGAAAACCTATACACTGAACTACGTCTTCCCTGGATGACAACCCAGAAACAGCGCCCACAGTTGTCCAAGAAAGTATGGATAATTTTAAATACATAATTTAAGCCCTATTTTTAAGGTTGATTTTCAAAATTTGTTGCAGGCAAACTTTAACAACCAGCCGCTCGTGACCTCGACGTGCATCGACAGCCTTGACTTTGCAGCAAGGGAGCACAAGTTGCACAGCGCCCCCAAGTTCAACAAAAGTTCATCCGTAACCTCTACCTAAGCTGTTCACAGGCCCTAACCAGTTTCGTTAGCGGCGACATTGTTCGTGTGCTTGACACATCTTAAACAAAGTCGAATAGTGACGATTTCAAGCAGAGACTGTCATTATTTCCAACCAACACAAAGCAACATTATTTCCAAACCAACAAAAACGAAACGAACGACACACTATTTCTTGTAAAGCGTTGTTAAAATACATGACTGTGACTTAGTGTTGGCCTACTTGAAGCATGGCAGACATACCAGAAGGGCGTTATTTGAAGTGGGTGCATTTTTGAGCAAACACACGACATTTTCCCCGAACCAGCAGCTCCCTGCTATTGTGTTTCCCATACGTCAAGTAGGCTAATTGCTAATCATACGCTGTCAAAGCAAGGTCCCTGTCTAGCGTTGCTAGGTGCGCACAGGAACGGCAGAAATGGGTACATAATCATGGTTGTAATGAAAGATTCCAGTTACAAACAAGGCAAGATAATAATATTGCCACCGATGGACACGACCATGGTTTTCGTATCGTGACGTGTCCATACTAAGTCTTCATTACAGCGATCTGTGTGTACGATTTGATATTTATGCTGCATCAGGCTTGGGTGGAATGGTTGGAGGTACAGTACATGTACATAACCTGTCTCCAGAAATCATCATTCCTTAAAAGAACATCTGGCACACAGTTGCGATCCATTCAGCCATTATAAAGTCAAACCGCATACAATGGTCATTAGTGACAGGGGAATATTTAACAACGCCAAGTGTTGAAAGGTATGTCTGAATTGATTGCTTAAGTTCAGTAGGGTGGTTAGAGGTACTTGAAATGGGGTTGAATGACATGTAATTAACTCGGAAGGACAATATCTCTGTAAGAAATGCATTCTAGGGTAAAATTAAGAATAAATGTGGCATCCGGGATGCATGAAATTGGGAAAATGACAGAGGAGGAGATTCAAAACTTTGAAAAGATTACATTTGAAAGGGAAATTTGGTGTCCCAGGTCGAAAAAAAAACTGAAAGTGTCCCTTGGAGTAATAAGGAACAGTAGGCAAGGAAATGATATAATAATGTTTTGAAGCGGACATGTACTTCACAATTCTGAAATAGTGCGATTTACGGACCTAGGTGGAACTGCCTATTTATTAATTACGTGATTAATTTGGTATTAATGAATATTCTCAGTATCCATAGGACAACATCGGTATCCAATTTACTCAACATGTTTAGCAGTGTGGTAACATCCCGCACTTTTCTTTCGTTTATGACAAATCCTGACTTACCAACTGAGCGCGCATCAGTCGTTGTTGTGAGTTGATAGAGAGCCGTCTAGCCGCAATAGACTTGCTTGGGACTTTATCATTGCTAGACAGGTCCGAGTAGGCCCTTCGCCGCTTGGGTAGGGTCAATATGTCCCTCGGACCTTGCTTAAAGCGCAAGGGAGCGCCGCTGGTGTTGAGAGTGCAGGTGTCCCGCCGTAGACGGCCGCGTTGCTGCGTCTCGTCCGTCACTGTCGCGTACCGCTCCTCCCGGAACGAGTCGGAACGGGAGCGTTCGGCTAGACTCTCCATGATGTGCACGACCGCGTTCCGACGGTGGTGCCGCCCTGCAGTCGGTAGCAGTTGACTTGTCCTGTGTTCCTGGTGGGTGTTGAACGATTCAGTTGGGGATCGTTGATTAAAAACTTGAGTGCCGAAATGTTCAGCCTCTTTACAGTAGTGTTTGCTTAATTTATGATGACTTTTGAAACCGTGCTCTTGTTCGTCCGATGGTGGATGAAGGTTTTCGTTTGATTTGCTTGTCTCGTCCTGGGTTGTCAACTTGTAACGGGGATCGATTAATCGATGGGTAGGACTATCGCTATGGTGTCCACCTTGCGGCGGCTTATCTGAGTGCCCAATCTCGGGAATGTATTTGTGGCACGATGTTGGAGAAAAACGGTACGAATGTGCGTCTATCTCGCCGTTGTCAAGCACGGGCAGTGCGTCGTACCTTACGTCGGAGCGGCTCCGCCTTCGGTTGCCCTGGTCTTCGTTCCAGGCGTCTTCGGGGCTGAGATGGTTCACAAGAGTCGGACTGACGAGGCTCCGCACAGTCTGTCGTTCCTTGTGAGTCAGCACCCCGTCTGCAATGCCCCAATCCCTCCTGGGACTGAGCCCACGATGTCTGGGCTTGCCCGACTCGGCTGTTCGCAGTCCTCGCGATCCGCTGACAGAATCTCCCTCGGCGGATAACCTCCTAGCAGTACCGCTCCTGTCCCGGCCTACTGAAGACGTGGAGTTTGCTCTGGATTTCACCGGCGTCGTTGATGCAACAGGTCGGCGGAGAGTAACATCGTCCACACAGAAGTCAGCCGTTGATTTCAGTTGGTAACTCCCTACTTTATTACCAGTTAATGTATCGACAGATCTTACAGTATGTTCAAAGCTTGCGCACTTGGCTTCGAGTGAATCATTAATGGCTCCTGTCACATCAATTTCTGTTTCATTGATACTATTGTTGCGACCACGACCCCTCTGCTCTCCATGCCCAGCAACCGTGGGATTTCGAATTGGCCTCCGCGCATGTGACCCATTTTCGAGCTTATCGTACAAGTCCAAGTGTAGCTGCGATAACACCGCTCCAGTGAACGGCTGGTTGGTCCCCTTGTTATTCGCTCTAACTATCTGTTCTCCGAGGTTGTGTTGACCGGAGTTTGCCTCGGTGCCTCGAGTGACGCTCCACTGACGCCTGGCGGCAGCGTTAATCTCCGGCAGCGATTCCATTCCGATACGCAGCGATGATTCTTTGTATAGCGAGAATTCTTTTATCTGCGAAAAAACAGGACAACAATAAAATGCATTCCGTCATTTTGTGTGTTGCCAACCCAACAAGACTGATGAATTGCTATTCAATGGTAACGACACCAATGAAGCGAAACGCCGCACCGAGCTGGGATTTTGTACAAAGGCCATTCACCGGTTATGGATATTAGAAATAATGACAGATGGCACAGACTTCACAAATAACGCGCTCTTAGACCGTGACATTCTGCAGTCACCAGGGAGTTTGCAGTGTGTACCTTGCAGCCTTGAGAAAGACTTCATGAAATACAACATCGTCATTCCTCATTACAAACGCTAATTTTACGCCCACGACGAATTCACAACTAGTATTGGCGATTGAGAATATAAGTAATTTTCAGAGGGAAGTTTTAGGAAAAGTTTTGAAGAAAAATATTAACTGTTACACCTGTTGAGACCAATGAAATTAGACAGAAATCTGAGACTTTTGACCTGGGTAAAAATACAGGAAAGTAAAGTTGTTTGGACATCTGAACGCCCCCTCCGAAGCGAGGAAAGTGGAGGGGAGTGCTTGTACCATGTGAAGGTATTCGAAGGCCATGGAAGGTCAACTTGATGCACGTGTGTAGTCAAACGACACAGATATAGGTATCGACACCGGTCTAGGAATCGATACTGATTTCATTTGTAAAGGCATTCAAAAACAAAACGTCGATTCGATTTCGGTCTCGATCTCAGACTGTGAGGTTTCGGCTACAAAACTGGCGTAGCCCAACCTCGTTTTTACTTCAACAGTACAGTTTACTTTCTTTATTTATTTATACACTTTCACCCTACCGCACTTTAAACTCTCACGCCTATGCTTTGCTATTTAAAGGCGTCCAACTCTTCGTCCGACTATTTCGACTTCCCAGAAAAACTCCACTTATTTTGGCCTGAAGCACGCTAGATGTGAACTAATCTTTCAAGAGAGGGATGGGTAAAATGGTAATTTTAATTGGTATCATCTTTGAGATTCGATGTCAAGAATTAATTCTTTTAAAAAGTGAAATCCATTATTTTCTATGTGTGAAGTTTTTTCCTTTCTTTTTCAGTAAACGCGTCATTATACGCAGTGCATGTTTAAATGGCGAAATGTATATAGGGTCTCGAAAAAGAATGTACGCTAATTTTACTCAAGGTTTTCGGTCTTTAGATCATGTAAAGTGTTCTGTTTCTTCCTGCACCGTCACCTAGTGATAATGTAGTGACCTTTTGTCAGACAGGATTATCTAATCTGACAGACGTTTCGTCTTCATCACCGCCTCGAGTAAATCGGAAGGAAAATAATGAAAAATCGAACAGAGTAGAGCGCCGCGATGTTTGTGACGTGGGGTCATCAGAGACTCACATGGCTTCATGCGGCGTGTTTGAGCAATGGGGGAATGAAGAATTACAGATGAAGTTGTCAGACGGTCATACGAGTGGAATTGGTAATGACCCTGAAGTTCATGTTCAGGTGTGCGTCATGAACCACAGTGTAAAAAAGACGTTTCATAAGTTATGGGATTGTAAGTTACATCTTTCAAAGGCCATAACTGCGGTGATGGCAAGGGTGGACTCAGAGACAAATTTTCGGAGAGGACCAAACTTGCAGGGGGATTGGAAATTAATTCATGTAAGCCTGTATGGCCTTTCTGAGGGGTAAGAGGGGTAAGTGTCGGTTTTTAGTGTTGGAAGGAAACAAAACAGATTGTCTTTCTCCCATTATTTGAAACATAAAAGCTCCTTTTGGGGGATGACCCCCGTTCACCCTAAAAACAACTTGGTTAAAATAACCAAAAATGTTGGTTATGTGTCCAACCAACCGCATTCTGTTTGCACATATTTTGAATCGCCATTCTTTTATTACTTTAAAAATGTGTTTTTAGAGTATTGTTCCTTTAGATTCGCCCTTGGGTACAGGTTTTGATGTCTGCTGTCGCAGAAGATTCTATTGTATTATCTTTCATTGTGTTGTACTCTGTTCAACATACTGTAGAGCACTTTCTTTTCACTGGAAGCTGTTTTTCCCTTAACGCTTTATCGTATTCCTTCGGCCCCTGCGTCTTCATATTGATTGGAGTTAATTTAAATGTCTTTAATTTCGAAGTCAAAATAACACAAGACGAACACTATCCCTTTTACTGGACAATTCGTCAAAGTACACATGCACTAATTCCTTTAATGCCTGGGGGCTGAACAAGGCGTGCGCCTGTTTGCTAATGGATTTGTCCCCCGTCCTGTACTTATAATAGTGCATTAAGCGACGTTTTACTATAATCATGTTAGAGTAATTGTGCTCATTTCAATGTTAATTTTCCCATCACTCCCAGTCGAATCGCTTCGCTTCTATTAATCACCTTCCTTACCTGTCGTAAAACTGCCTGGTACCGATACACTCCTTGATTTGTCTCCGATTCGTTTCACGGTTAATGCTAATATGCAGCTAATAAGAGCTAACTTACCAGTTGTACTGAAACACTTTGTCGGTTTAGAAGGTTGGCTGGACTGAAGTACTGCTTTGCTCTTTTCGCAACTTTTGTATCAACTAATATATTTGAAGTTTACGTTGAAGCTCATTTTAGTTGAAAGTAGAAACACTTTGCAGTTACCTAGGTAGTTGCAATCACCTACCACCATCAGAGACGCGTTGGAGGTAATTATATACAAGCTGACAAGAACACCGCCGTCAAGTTTACACGAAGCGGCACCAACCATGACAGGCTGAATACCCCCTGCCGAAGAATGTATCCAACGTGACCATCCCCGTCTGTCATCGGCATCCTATGATTATTCGAGGGTGTAATCTACATCCTGACCTTTGGGGAAGGGCCAAGAGAACTCGACTATGCAGCCACTGAGTATGGTGCTTTTCCCTTCAAACGAAATCTTTCCAAAGTGAAGAATTGTTCTGAAGTGTAGCATAAATCGACACTTTGACAGTTACATCTATTCTTTAGTAACAAATCTGGCAAATGTGAGGAGGCTGGTTTCGTATACTTAGATGCGTGTTACTCACTTTAAGATACTGTACTTGTTGCATACAATGATACCGATCAACAATAACTTGATGACGAGTGGGGGAATTGTACATTTTGGCTGTCTTGTTTCACCAACCGACACCACACATAATTGTTTAACTTTCTTGAGCAACTTTCCGGCTCCCAGACCTTGTACAGTGTGGTTGATTACCACATCTTCAAGGTATAGCTCACATGACAACTTGTACAGCTAGGCATCACAAGTCCCGCAGTCGATCGATATATTAATGATTAATGAATTAAAATCAGGCATAATACCAATAAATACAAAGCCTTCAGCCAGAAAATGTGGGCTGTCATGTATCTCATTTTAAGGTGAATTTATGACAGCATTTTACGCAATTAGTTGGCTGCTTCGACTGACCCACCTGCGATGCCAAACAATGGAGATCTATTTTCAAATTTTATATGGTTGTTATGCACGACTGCGTGCGTAAGTACTCCCCATTATGCATTAACTCATTTAGCTGAAGACATTATAAAGCCTTCACGTATACAAGAAGTTTGAAACAAACTCAAGAGCAAAATTTATCCCAAAAATGCAACATTGTTACCTGACTTCTCTCGATCTGGGCTGTCAATCATAAAATGGTGGGTTGCCTTCGTTTCTGGGGTATAAATACATGTTTCCAGGAGCAATTTATTGCCTATGTTAAGTCAATAAACCGACTCACGCGGTTGCCTGACCTGTTGGACCTGTCGCCCTTTGGTTGCCATTCATTATGCGAGTGGAAAGCCTTTCGCAAGATCATAATGGGATTGTAAGGCCAGGAAAAGTCGAGGGGCTTCACTGGCAAAAACATGTCAGAATTTCAAAACGAACAACAAAGACAACGGTGCTTTGGGTCACAAGAAAAAGGAGTCAGGTTTCAAGGCTAATTACATTTCAATTTGAAGTTTGAAGTCTTCATGTTGTTGGGGTATTTCAATGACATGTTAATGTTGGTGGCCTGGGTATCCGTCTTTTGAGAAACTACCCTGCATCATTGTCATCATCATCATCCAAACATCGCAGATTGATATGCATAACCAATTTTGAAGTCATTAAACCACGAAAAATAATAAGGTAACCCTACTTTACGTGTTCACGCAACAAATGCTGTTTGAAAGACGGCTTGTAGACTTTTAAAAGTCACTTGCCCACGGAACGTAATTTTCTTCCCTTATGGCCATACCTCGGCATGTTCGTAGACACCTGTTGCTCTGGCGACGCAGAAGAGAGACCACGATTTTGACGCTTTGGAGACAATGATAATGGCGATTTGCGGCCAATAATTACCAAGTTCCATCAATCGTGCCTTCAGAATTGGGTTAAATATTAATGGAGCGGTAGGATTCTTATGAGGGTCGTTAGATGTCAGTTTTACTGGGCCATCAACAGTTTCACGGAAACCCCCCTTTTGTGTGCAGGGAGTGAAGTTATAAATGGAGGGGTTACGATAGCGGCTTGAACGCGTGCAGTAGTGTCTTGTCCCGATGATAACAACGGTCAGGTTCACGCGAGGTTGGAAATAGAAGAACTTCAACGCGGGAAAAAGTTAGGTGTTTACATCTGACTTTGAGAATCGTGCAGTGCTTGCATTATACTTTTTTACAAACGGGAGCAACTAGAGCAGATCCAATTTCTTCTCAGATGAAGGGGGGGGGTTAAACTATATTGTATGCTCTAAAACGTGTTCGGCTCATGAACACTTTTCCAAACAGTTTCAGTTGAAATACTAAGCATGTTTAGAGCATTGATCGATAGTGCTAAGCAAATACAAATTGACGTTTACCAAGTTGAAATATAATGTTAAGGTTCTAAACGCGTTTACAAAATTATGCAAAATTGATTACGTTAAATCGGTTTGGGCAGCATTTAGAGTGTAATTTTCTGTGTGGTTTCGGGAAAATGTATCAATCGAGATACTCCCCGCTAAGGCATTTTAATCAGAAATGTTCCCCATTAGGAATCCCAATTCACCATCCACTTTTTTCATTTATCAACAACTTCAGCGTCTTCCGATTCGGGCCGCCATTTCGAAAACGCACCCTTGTCTATCCCTTCCGGCGCCAGATCTGCTATCCCAAACGTCTAAAGACCCAGTCCATTCGAGATGAAGCGAAATTGAGTTTGCATAGAAATTGCCCTTCGGCCGTATCAGAGAAGGCCATCCTAACATGTTCCCGCCCAACTCACAATGCGACGATTGGTTTTCCAATTACACACGCCCCGCCCTTCTGGCAGGCAGCATCCCATGAAATTTCAACATCTAGTGCCAATTTTCAAGTCCGAGCAAACGCGCACGGCCTCATAATGTCCGCCATGGGATGTCGTTTATATGTCACGGCATTAATTAAGCCACTGTCTCCAGCATGATGCAAACGGAAATTGAACAATGATCATTATGTTGCGTGTGCGCGCATTTGACCTTGCATTTCTGATAGGGCCTGGCCCTGGGTGGATTTTTACGTTTGTTGAGGGCTACGACTGTTCGAGAAAGAAAATCCCCAAATCCATGTCTAATTTACAGGTCGTGTAGAACTGTTGCTGACATGGGATATCGCATACAGAAGGCAAAGTGTCGATTTTCTTACGAATTAAAAGGAACAGAAAAAATAAACCGTCGACAAAATACATGTATCACAGAAACAGGCAAGAGGAATGATCTACCATCGAAGATAACCGAGGAATAAATCTAAGCCATGACACAGCAAAAAATCTCTCTGATGAAGATGCATGCGCAGGTGATTCAGAGGAGGGAGTTAAGGTACCCTTGGTGACTATTGATACCCTGTGATAATACATCGTACTCATAACAAAAAGGCTTGAAAAGGCTTTCAAACGCAACTGAACCATTTCGGTTTCCTGCTGCAGTGACAGAGCGCTAACTCGTGACCTTCAAATTAACAGGAATGCATAATGATATAGCAAGCTGAGGACTGAAGCACAAGTCACATTGTGAAAAAATAATATCGAAAGCCTTCAATTTTAAGAAATCCAACATAAGTTCAGTTTGCAAATCAGATGCGCACAAATGGCCTTGTCGGCAAGAAGTGTGAGTGGGCCATTGAAAAGCCGGTACAGGGGTGCGACTTTGATGGTCATTTTCTCTCAGGTTTTTAAGCTTTGTTCGTTTTTTCTTCAGAAAATCCCATTAAATCGTTTTTGCTATTAGTTTCTAATCTAAGCGGGCTTTTTAGTGCTCTGTAAGAAGACTTTATAATCGTAATTTTTCCTGTGTGTACGAGATCGCGAGATCGCCGTTTCTTAGTATGGCCCCCTCCCATCATAAGTAGCATAAATTACATCGTTAGTGTTCTGGGAGCCAACCTGGGCATTTGTTAACACGTACTAATGTTCAATGCACATGTACCGGTACTGTACGTACATGGGACTTTACTTCTAGTCGGTGGCCTCCCAGATTCTTCTGTACGATTCCGCGTTTCATCTCCCGTGCGTGATTCTGTTGTTTTCCCCGACATATTGACATCAGGCCGTGTCAAAATTCAGTGTTACATGACTATGACGCAGGCGCACCGCAGTGTTGACGTTGACAACCATGCCCGTTTCGAACGCGGCCTCGCATCAAATATGATGGATCGGAGATTCTCGTGGAAAATTCATGACGTCGGTTGAAACAACTAATAGCCCGTATAATTTAATCTGTCGGCCTTTACTACATGGGCAAGTTTATTCATAAAAGGACTAGGCTATACCATTGATATGCCGAATGATTAGCTCTGCTTTATCCCCTCTACATCACATCACAATAAAAAGCTGTATATATACGTGGTACATGAAACATAAAACATAATTATATACATGTACGTGTAGCGATGAAATCGTTTACTGATTTCCCTTTTTTCCTTCTAATCACAGGAGTACAGCTTTTCAATGCTTATACGAAAAGCAGATATACCATGAGATGTAAATAACCGGAAAAAATCTGTAATCAAGTCGGTGAATAAAGTGAATAATGCAGTCTTTAAAAAGGACTGTTTTAATTAAGTAATAAAGTACAGTATGTTTTTAATTTTGGAGGTCTAAAAAATACGTGAGCAGTATTTTAGGCCACAGTCTATTTGTATTTTATGTGGAAGGTAAGGGTCCTGATTAAATTACTTTTGCCAAGAGAAAATCAGTCACTATAATACAAACAAACATGTTTATGCTGCCCACAATTAGCGACGCACAGAAACTGACTAAGTTATCGTTATTTCATTTTCCACCATTTCCTGTCTCCCCGTGTGCGATTTTTCCTTCTATCGACTGTGCACATCCAGCTCTTGTGTCCTGGTCCGTAACAGTTGTGACATATAAGCGGCTCTTCAAACTTACATCTGCTGGCGGAGTGGTTCTTCTCCCCGCAGTATTTGCAGGAACCAATGGCATGGGCCCGTCTGGAATGCGAGTTTTGACTGTTCCGATTACCGTGGTGGGTCACATCGGCTTTCCTCTCCGTAAAGAATCTCCGTTTAAGATGGGCTCTCTTGTGTTTGGCTTTGTCGCTCGCACGCATGATGTTGGGCACCGCAGTTTGAAAATTTCGCAGCAGACGGATCGTGCCGGCCTGCGTGAGGTGCAGGCCGCCCTTGTCTAGGAGCGACGGGTCGATGGAATCGTCCTTCATCTTGAAGTTGTCGTCGTTGTCCACAAGGCCGCATCCCGTCTCTTGGGCGACTCTTCGGATGATCTGGTTGAGCCGGTCCACTCGGGCCTGACTCTCCAAGTGGTCTTTTCTCGGGCAGACGGTCGATACGACCGTTGCGGAGCCCGGTGCCAGCTCGCGGATAACTCGGAGCAGGCCCCGATAGTCGTCGCTGGCGCGGTCCAACCCGCCGGGGTCCGAGCAATTATTGGTCCCGATGTGGAGGATAATGGTCTTGAATGCCACAACAGCGATGCACTTGGTACTGATCTCGTGCCCGACATCTCCTATACGGGCGCCAGACATCAATTTCATGGTGACGCTATGGAGGCCACGTTCGCTGATATTTTTTATCACGGAATCACCGATGATTAAAGTTTCCGGGGCCTTGTCATTGGCCATAATTTGCCACTTCCCTACGTCGGGGTGAGTTGTCATACTGTGCTCTTGAGGATGTTTTTACTTTCATTTATACAACTCAGCACGAGAATACGTCTCTGGGTGACCAATCACTGCTCGTGATGCATGAAATGTGATCAAATAGTGCCATCGGTCTTCCCCCCAGCCACGCTGATATACGCCCACTTTTATATTGACCAGGGTACTACTAGCATTGGCATTGTTTCCCGTTTTGGCCTTTTCGTCTACACGCCTTGCCATATCGATTCACTTGAACACGAAGGACGACTACGCGTCAGCGCACTGTGCGCAATTTCCCTAGTCGCAAACACTCAGCCGAAATACATACATATTGTTCTGAATATTCTATTTTAATGATTGCACTTTCTCTTTAACAGACAACTGACTAGTCAACTGGCACGAAAGAAGAGTCATCCGCGTAACGCGTTGCCATAGAGACGTACCTTGCAGCAGCAATTTACAGAGATGCGTCCTTGCGCCAAACACCTTATTCTAGTCATAGGAAAGAACAATTCAAGGTTTTGTGGGCTGTGGAGAAAGGACATGTTTTCCGAGCCCATGGTAGTTTTCAAAATAAATTTCAAAGTGGACCTTATATCCAAAGCAAATCGAACCCGTCTTTAAATTCATATGAATAATGCATTTATAATGACTTGCCCAAATCCCATTTGACATTGGCTTGGAGTTACATGGCCTGTCATTGGGTTGGCATCCAATCATGGCACAGCATTCGAATCTAGAGTATATTTATTTTCTCATACCCTCAGTTCATGGGATTCAGTATCCGGTCGGAACTTCTGCTTCTCTGCTTTGTAGATGGTAGAAGAGTCTGCATTGTTTCAGAGATAGTGAAATCACAGGACTACCTGTCATCCAATCAAAACTGTGGGATGGTTACGCATCATTACCATTATAGACATCCAATCTCAAGTAATGACTTTGGTTGTACTCAAAGAAGAACCTCATCTCGAATGATCATCTCATCAGCAGCAGCCATGGCTTTTGCCTCCAAACTCCTCAGCCACACCCGAGGTCATGAAATTGTTACTTAAAATAAACGTCACCTCGCGTTAGATCGATACTTTCAGGACTGCCGCCGTATGGTTGACATTGCCGTATCGATTGAGAGACCTTAGATGCCTATAAATTCTGAACAAAATTAAAGGCCCGTAAAGTGATCATGAAACTCCGTGTAATAATTAGATCCACCTTTCCAAAATACTTAAGTAGCCTTCTCTTGATGTCTTAGCTCGTTGAATTAAGAATCGGATGGGGAGATTGCAGACCTTATTGTGTGTTTTAAGAGAAATACATCAACAATTTTTTTTTCGATCGTTCCCATGTATAGTGAGGCCGTCACCACAGCCACTGGTTTTGATGCACTTATATGCAAATAAGGCAGGTGCATGCACATTACTACTACTGGTTGGCAAAATTGCTTAAAATCTATGACGTAACAATACAAATCTCCATGCACGCGCAACTACAAGCACACACACGCCGTTCTGCACTAGTTTAGTTTGACATGAGTGCCAAACTTAAAGACAAGGATTTGTTACTTTCCAACTTCAGGACACTTGAAACTTGACTTAGTTTCGAGGATAGCGTGCTGAAGTATCGGACAGAGGCTGTAATACGGTTTGCATTGACCTTCAACGCTCGGAGTTATGGTTACAGCAGCCCTCCTGCACATACACTGCCGACAGTGTTGACGGCCTCGCTTGCCAACCAGTGGTAGCAGCGCGCATGCGCCTGCAATTTGCATATATTCATGGCAGGTCATTGAGTTGACAGTGAAAAAATCTTGAAATTAGTGGTGATGACTCTTTAACTGAAGCATGTTCATAACGCAACACCACCTCTCTTCAGTTTACTTTATGCATTCGACTTGATACATGCAACTGCAGCAAGTCGTCATTCACGTTAAGATGTCTCACACAGGATTGGTTCTCCTGAGTATTTTAACAGGTAAGTGTAATTTTAGTAAACTACTAAACTTTGTAAGCCTACAAAACATTTCTTATGTTTTGTTCAATGATTGCACTCTCCAATAATTTCTGAACATTTTTAAACTAAAAAAATCCATGCTCCAACCCTAACCATGCTGAACCCAACAAGGTTATGCAGGAATCCATGGTCCCTCGGGGGTTCTAATTTACGAATGCAGTGTTTCTCTCTAACATGCTGTAAACTATGGTTACCATGAAAATGTTTAATACCGTGGAAAGGAGGCAAAACAAGATTAGATTGAAAACAGTTGAATTAAATATCTGGGAAAGATACGTTTGTCTTTTTAATCTTAGTAATAAGGTTTACGTCTTATGTTTAAAAGACCCCCCCCCAAAAAAAGAAGCAAAACTCGTTCAGTACAGGTTGCCGCAATTCAGCCTTAATAATTATTGCATCATATTATGGTGTTTTACATTTTTTGTATTCCTTCAGTGGTTTGTCTGCAAGTAACCGAAGGGTGCGTTTGCTATGCGGGTCAGACAGTGGACCCAAGCTCTACTAGTTCATTCAAACCGTGGGTGCTGCTCTACCGCGACCCTTGTGGTTGTACCAGCCTTGTACCGGGCGGCTTTAACGCTCAGCGCTCCCCGCCGGTTTGGAGACACTCTGCAGTCACAAATCCACCAGGATTCACCTTCTCGTCGGAAGGAGACAGGGCCAGCGTGAAGTTGAGTCTTGGGTGCACAGACGGCGTCACGCCGTACACCGAAGCGCCCGCGGCTACTGATGTGCAGGCGATTCAGGGTATCAAATCCACCCCGATTAATCTCGACATTGACACCGAGTCTACTCCGCATACGGCGACCGAGTCGACCCAGCAACATGGTGATGCGACCGGGTCAACGAGTCCCAATTCTGCAGATCGTGTTGACAGCAGTTACCGAGATGACAACGAATGAAGGAATCGAGTCTAATGCCAACGCTGCGACTTCTGCATTAGTGGGTATAAGTGAACCACCTCTGTTCCCAGGTAAACAACTAAAGCTGCACGGATACGGGGGGGGTCCACCCCCTACTATGAAACAAAAAAGTAAACAAAACGGGGAAATGATAATATAAAAAAATTGTACAAAGATAAGTGCACCAAAACTATTGTAAACAATGTATTTCGTGTGATGTTTAATCATCGTTTCCGCTTCTCCACAAAAATGAGACATTAAAAAAAATCGCTGGCCTGACCACCCTCGGAAAAATTCCTGGATCCGCCCCTGCGTGGTAACTCAATGCTCATACGAACAGAACAGTAAACCCACACCGGGAAATGCGCCCTTCACGTTATTTGTTTAAGCTAATGAATTAATGACCATTCAGTTCTAAACAATATGCAGAGAGAAATAGCAGAACACAGAATCCTACAGAATAATAACTTGTCTAACCTGTTGTCCAATTATTGACACAGTGCAGATCCAAAACCTTCACGATTCGACCAATAGGATTTAAAGTTGCCAGCGATTACATTCACACGTCACGATTTAAGCTCCGTCGCCCCCCCCCCCCCCCCCCACCACCATACTCTTCGTTTTAATTTCTGTATTACATTACA